GTTTTTATATATTTTTTATTTATTGTTATATATACTTTTAAAAAAGGAACTAAAATGTAAATATTAGAAACTTATTAAACTAGATAATCAAAAGTAAATGAAAAAGATTAAATAAAAATAATTCACAAGACCAGCTTAAGATGTGGTTGATTACTTGTCATGTACTTGGACAAAGTGTAAAAGGCATTGTAAAATAATAAAATTAAAAGCAAGCATATGCAAAACTGTTTGAAAGCTGAGGCTGTTAGGATAAATAATTATAATAGTCTGTTACAATCTGTAGTCATTCTAGAAAAGAATATTGATTTTATTTCAGTACATTGATGATTTACCTACAGTTAAATGTTAGGGTAGAGAAAATAAAACCAACTTAAACTCCTCCCCACTCGTCTCAAGGTAAATGTCAAGGTTACTTCCAGTTCTTTGGTTAAAGATACATAAACCCATTTACAAACCATTTAAGTCTGTACCCGATGATATATATACTGGTGAAATCATGGTCATTAATAAATGAATTATTTGTGAAATGTACAATTGTCTTTGATGTTTCTTTAGTTCTGTAATAAATTATAAAGTTTTACTGAAAAGATTTAATATTCATTTAGGAAGTTCTAGAGGTTATGCAAAGAAATATGAAGGCTGTAAGATGGAAAGAAGTTTTATTCTTAGCGATAAAATCACCTTGCATTCAGACTGACTCAGTAAAGACTTCATAAATTCACTGACTAAATCTTAAGTAAAAATATATTATTAAAAGTACCTGATTTTTGTTACAACTGACTTGTAATGTTTATAATGCTTACTAAGAGCTTGCCAAAGATTGTGAAAATACACTTAGTACATTCAGTTATATTATGTATAGTTTTCATGGTGGCTACAAGGTCAGTCAAAATGACTAAGCCCATTTACAGAGATGATGCATTTGACACAAATGGCTGGGTTACAGGGTAATTGTGTGAATTAGTGCATTTTTTGCTCTTAAAGCTACTGAGCATTATTACTTTCAGAAGAATTCATAAAACAAATATTTCTTACTCCCAATGTTAGGAAAACTTGTATATTGAAGAAAATAATTTACCACAAAAATATGATACCCTATAACTCGAGCACTTTCAAAAGGTGGACCTTTCTTCTTCAGCGAAAGCACTTGGGTTATAGGGTACTCCTCTCATTAAGGGAAATTTTTTTAAAAAGCATTCTAGGCTATTACAAGTATTGTACTATGATCTAGTTATAATCTGTATTTTACCAAAATACATTAAAAACTACTTTATTAATTCTGATAAGTGTGATCCATGAAATATAATTAATATCAGTTGAGAAACATACATTAATGAATAAAATAAATTATGTACATATTTTTCAGAGCACACTGATGTTCTCTGTCAGTAAGAAATATAAATAAAAATGATACAAAGGTTCAGACATTAGGACTACTTCAGATGGAAAACCTGATCATTACCAACAAACTGAACTGAAGATCTTTCAGAGACAAACAATACAAACACAATGTTCAGAAACAAGACTGTGCATTAAAAAATATAAACCAGTAAATGTTCAGTTGGAATTTTAAATCTAAAACAACACAGAAAGTTGTGATAAAAATAGTTTGTAATGTTAACTGATGTTCAAGTTATACCTGTATATATTTAATAAAATATTCCAGTCAGACTGATGATACTCATGTCATAAACATAGGTATGAACAATTTTATGATGCTGTCACATTTGAATGGATGAAATGCATAACCTTAAAATAATGTATCACCACTGTCTTCAAGATCATAAAGCTATAAACACTTCAGTGGGTCACTAATAAATGTGAACAGTTTTAATTTTATGATGCTAAATGTGAAATAGATAAATTTATAAGAATGCAAGACAACGTGTATCTTATTACTTATATAGTTCAGTAAAGCCATTTTTTTCTTAATCTAAAATCATTATCAACAGTTGAATTCTCAATGGTTTTGTTTCATTCTTAAAAATGCTGTAAAATAAACTGTTGGGGAAATAAGTAAAATCTAGAGTTCTGTGGTTTTATCTTCTTGAGTAAACTTACCCTATTTGATTTGTTAAATGCAGTTTGGAGTTGAATATTATCAAGGCCAGGAGTGGTTAGCATGTTAGACTGCATGTTTTCTGGTGTTATAAAACTTCTGTTTATTCCAAGTTATTGATCTTTGGGGAAGTATTTCTCTGATGATACAAAAAAATTAAACATTTGTGTGCAACTTTTTGACGCTCACTTACTACCATCTTTTTGTAGATACTCCCCCCCCCCAACAGTTTTATAGAAGTAGAGTTTCTGTATGTTTCAGCTGATGCTTGTTTTTCTATCTCATATATAAATTTTAAACAATACACATAGCCCTGAAACATACTATTTTACAGAAATCTCAGAGTGATGGTGCACACTTGACAGATTTCTGGTAAAGTTTATTATAATATGGATTTTTTACTTGTAATTTTTATTCAGAAGGTATTCATAGTTGTGTATATGTCTTAAGGAAGTGCCAAAATAAAGAGGTTTAATCAATAACTTACTCTAAAGCAATCTTAGTAATATTAAAAATATCAGTTGTACAGAACCTACCAGATTTCGGTAAAAACTAAAAACATATATTTTAATTCTAAATTGTTTAGAAAACAAGACTTAGATGTTTATTTTATATAAAATAATCACTTTGAAAAGAAATATTCGTAAAAAATTTTGCCAAGTTTATAGAAATTACAGATTGGTACATTCATGATCCAAAACTTTCATGCAACTACTTTGCTTTGAAAGATGGAAACTTTTAAAATTGTTTACCCCTTTTTTTTTACCAATAAATTTAGCATGTGAATTACAGAATAATTAATTAGAAGATGTTTAATACATATTAAAATATGAATTAAACTGCTGTGATTCTGAGGGTTCATGATTCACACACTATTTTTACAAAAGTGCACTCTACACTTTGGGGTTGGAGGTGTGCTATAAGAGTTATGGTCAAATCTCACTCTTTGGTCAGATAAGAGAGAAGGTGATGTTGACTAATTTTCTCTAATCTGTCACTTCAAAATAATGGATGGCTATGTACAGTTAGCTTTTTGTAGCTTTGCTTAACAATTTTGAAACAAACCTGTGCAGCAGCCCATGGCAAATAAAATTAATTTATTTCAATAGATTTAGTTTTTAGTTCTATGATGCAACGTGCTCCTGCATTTCACAACAAGTGCTATTATTAAATAAAGCACCAACATAATAATTTCCCAATAACAAAAATTTTCTCACCATGTCTCCATAGAATATTTCTGAAATTTATGCACTTCACTTGCACGTGATGTGTCCATAGATATTGTATGGATGTGTCAGTAAAGCGGGAATCTATTTATACATCAATCATTTGCACAGTTACAGTTGTTTGAATTGTTAACTCAAGGAAAATGATTGTAACAAAAATGTGTTAGAATAACAGAATTCTTCCAGCCTGTGTGACTTTGAAACCATCCATGATAATACATGTACTTTTACATAAATTGTAATTTGTTTTGTTAAATCTAGATATTTTTAGGTTCAATCATTAGCAGTTTTGTCGTGGCTCGTCATCTGTTGTCTGCCATTATGTCACTAAATTCCAAATGGTCGTGTGATGTGTAACTCAGTGATTGTGATGTACTAGTTTTTCGTAGTATATCTATCAGGCATAGCACTATGTACTGTACGTTTTTGTGATGCTTTAATCATGATTAAAAGCCAATGGACTTCATAACTTTTCGTTTTTTAGACATTTGTTAGTTCTAAAACTATTAAAATAGGATGTACACAATTGTTTTTATGCTCATTAAGTGTCCATGTCAAACATCTGCTTATATTATACGACTGGACACAGTTACAAGTCTTATCATCCTTGCCATCAGCAGAAATTAGTGTGGCATCTGATGTGCAATCTTCCATCATCAGCATGGTCAGCAGTACTTTCTGTGCAAGTTCTCTTTGGTCTAAAAAAACTAAGTGCAACTTAATGAAAACTCACATTCCAGAAAAACAGTTTTGCTTTCCTGGGAAAAGTTATCTTGATAAAGACAAAAAAAAGATGGGATATGTAAGCATTCTTGTCAGTTTGATTGGCTTGAAAGGTTTGATTTCCTCTCATATTCAATTGAAATGGATGGTTTGTTTTGTCTTCGTTGCATCCTTTTCCTTGCTGTTCCACAACATGGTAGCTAATCTAAAGTTTTAATAACACAACTGTACCGGAACTGGAAAGACACCTTAAGTTATGTCAGCGAATATTTCACACTAGACAATCATAAGCAATCCAGGGCCTTAATGAGTGGTTTTACTGCCACACTTAAGAATCTGAAGGCTCATGCTAATTTGACACTCTCACATGAAGCACAGGATCTCATCAGAAGAAACCGCTTCACTTTGTTATCAATTGCATTGAATTTTGTGGTCAACAAGACCTAGCCCATAGAGGGAACAGTAACTTATTTTCTCCTTTTCTGACACTATCTTTAGGCATACTCTAACTACAGCATGGATTGATAATCAGAGAAACTTTAAAGCCCTTTTGGAATTTATAATCAATGCTGGGAACAAAGTCTCGCGACAGCATTCAGAAAATTGCAAGAAAAATGCAACATATACTTCTAACAGAAATCAGAATGATATCTTGTCGTGCATTAAAGATTTTTTTGCAACAGCATATAGTCACTGAACTTGAGTCACAAGAAATTGGTCCCATTTTTGCTATTCAGATAGTAGTAACTGGGAGCAGTTAGGGGTCATGTTGAGGTATCTTAAAGGTGACAAACCTGTCAAAAGGCTAACAAAATTTATAGAATGTGAATCTACAACAGGAGAGGCAATTTGTTCCAAAGTTCAATCACTCACAAACTTGCAGCTTAAGCCCAAAAATTGCTGCGCACAAGCAAATGATGGAGCTGGTAATATGAGCGGAAAACAAAAGGACTGTGCTGTTTGCTTTCAGGAGTTGTCTGCTAAAGTAATATACACCCACTGCTCCAGTCACGATCCGAGCTTGGCCTTATCCAAGTCTTGCTCACTATCTGAAGTTCACAACATGCTCTCAACACTGAAGTCTTTTGGATTATTTTTTAAGTATTCACCAAAGCACTCTTGTGAGCTTGAACATACCATCACGTGAATCACTGAAGAGGTTTCTGTTTAGATAAAGCTCAAAAAAGTCAAAATACTCTGTGAGACAGTGGGTTGAGCGACATACAGAATGTGGAACACCTCCAGAGATTTATTGGTTACTTGTCTTGAGGATATTACTACAAAGCAACTATGATCAGATTGAGATGGCAAGACTTTCACAGAAGCAAATAGTATCTACAGTCAAGTAAATACCACTTCATTCATTGTTTCTTTTTAGTGTGCCTTATTTTCACTTGGGTTCACTAAGTCATTGAGCATTTTGCTTCAGGGAAGCACTATGGATGTTGTCTCTGCTTTCGAAAAAGGTTAACTTGGTGGAGGATCAGCTCAAGGAGATTTGATCAAACTCAAAAGAGGAGTTTCACAGTATATTTAATAAGATGGAAAAACTGGCCCAACTGGCAGCACTGGTTGAAATTTTTTGCTGAGGTGATGCAAAAAAGAAGACACTACAGAACAATGTAGAGGCAGACTCTGCAGAAGAGTATTTGAGATGGGTTGTTTTGGTACTCTATCTGGACAGTCTAATTTTGGAACTCTCAGTCAGATTCAGTCAAGTTTTAACCCAGGCTATGCATGGGATTTATCTACTACCTACAAACATCGTCGAATTGAGTGAAGAAAGACAGAATGATTTTATGTGATATTATGTCAGTGATCTCCTGGCTTTGTTATCATGTGATCAAGAGGTAAGTCTTTGGAAGTGTCATTGGGATGGAGAATCGGGAAAACCTTCTACTGTAAGATCAACTCTCTTCTCTATGAATGTCAAACTTTCCAAATATTGCTACCATTTTGTGGCTCTTGTTTTCTCCAAGCAGCCACAAATGCAAGTGTGGAAAGAGCAAATTTGACTTAAGCAAATCAAAAGTGATTTGCAGAGTACAATGAAAGAGGATCGTCTGAATGCTTTGTTATTACTCAATATCTATAAAGATATTCCACTGGATGTTGATATGTTTACTGCTGGGCACCCATGAAGGATGCTGTTTGTAAACCCATTGTAAGAATAAAGCACTCACTATAAAGTAAATTTGATTTATTCATATTTTTACCATTCATTGAGCCCCTCCCCTATAAAAATATCTGGACATGCCCCTGTATGTGTGTGTATATATATTACATAAACAAATATGCTGTACACGTTAATCTGAGTCAATGAGGACTAATCAAAGATTAATTATGTTTAGATGAGAACTCATGCTAATATAAATTTGGGGTTGTATTTATAGGTTGATTGGTTGGACTCATACCATGGACTTTGTAGAGATAAGGTAGGTAAGGCTCTAGAGGAGCAGGGACGACATGGTGCACTTCAGTGGTTGTTAAGAGAGACCCAGCCTCTCGGGTAGAAGAAGCTGCCTGTTACAGGAACATGTGGTCAGAATTTTCTTTATTACAAAGAACTGAATAAGTATTAAAAAAACATATAATTCAAAATATATACAAATCAGTGTGAACCATGATTTTAAATTTAAAGCATTGATCTTGTAGAGAAACAATTGTTCAGTTTTGTTTTAAACAAAACATGATGTTAATGTAATTCAGTGTTCTGACTTGTGTTAAACAAAGTTTAGGTCGTGTGATGACACAGTGAATACTGTTTGATGTATAGTCTGTTGACCGAGTTTACTTTATAGAGATTCAAAGTAGACAGCTGATATGTTTGTCTTCCAGTTTCAATATGAAAGTTATGTTTTTCTAATGTACATATAAATTCCTGTTGACTTGATTTATTACCAGTATCTTGTTAAAAGTATCATTTTTCAAAATGTGTTTCAAAAGTAATTTTCCCTGAGAAAATAGAAATGCAATGGAAAAGAAATCAAGGATGTTATGTTATTTTGCATTTGTAATAATATTTTCCTGAACTCAAAATGGTTAAGTAAATTAGTGTTCCAGAAGCTAGTTAGAACTTAATATGTCTTAGTATTAACACATTTTTTGTGATTCTATGACAGCTTTGATTCCTGTATGGGAAGCATAGTTTTTATCATTTATGCTGTTAAATGGTTATAATTTTAAGTTGGAAATAACTGTTGATCTTCACCAGTGTTTATTTACTGTTAGCTTGATGGAGTAAATGACACAGCAACCTTTATATTATGACAGTTGCACAATTAGATCCTGCACCTCAGTAACGAATGATAATTCAAGATAATTGTGGTATAGCAATACTGGTATGAATCTAAAAAAGCTACAGCTACAGTATATATTACTTGTGAATTGCATATTAGATTCATTCTTGAATTTAACTATAGCTAACATCCATTTAAATCCCTGAACTGATTCATGTTAAGAATATTAAAAGCTAAGTTATATAATTTTTTTCTTCCTTTTCCATAATGACAAAGACCTGAAGTATGCAGTTCCAAGTTTCATTAGTAATTTATTACCCTTGGAAACATTAATTTTATCATGAGAGCAATTCTTCTGTCTTTTCTTTCTGTTTTCTAAACCCATGGGGACCTGCTTCTAGGATTCTCTACATCAGTCTGGCTCTCAGTGTACTTGAGAGTAAAATGTACCATGTAACAAACTTGCTGCTGAATGAACACTTGTTTGGTTTGCTAATAAATTAGTGCTTTTTGTGATGAGGAACTTTCTCTGTATCAGTGCTTGTATTTCTTACTGAATTTCTTTTTCAACCAGCTATTCCATCTTATGGATCAACTCTTTGAAAAGCTATTTTTTCTTTTATTGGACAGTTTTCTCAATATATGCTGAGATGCTATTTTTTGACCTTTTGTTGTTTTAAAAACAAATTTATTATGCCTTCGATATTATATCTAGTAATATCCTGTGATTCTCTCAAATATCATATACTGATTCACAAATGTTTGTGTTCTGTTTAAAACTGCAGACAGCTTGAATACTGTTTTAAGTTTTCAGGAATTGGCTTGCTGCAAATATATTTGGTAGTTTTGCCACTTTTATAAGTTTACTGTTACCTAAAAGTCTGTTTTAAGAGATTTTATCTATATTATATCAGCCACTATTTTTGCTGCTTTCAAGTTAATGTTGTGCTAGGCATCTGTTTTGTTTCTTCACTCCTCAGGCTGAACCTTGTATCGTTGTTCACCAATTTATCTTTGCATATTTCTACTTCCAGTATAATGTTAAATTGGATTTTGTGACACAAAAGCACTCTGATTTTCATTCTCTATTCTTTATTTGATCTCAGTATTTCAGAACAGAAGTAAGAATTATTTTGTTACAAGCATTATTCATGACATTTTTTATGATACTCAATTTTTGATTTTAAATCTCAACCATTAATTGACCAAATATACTAGCTTATAGCTGCCATTAATCTATGGTGCACATATCTGTAGCTAGTTATGACAGAAATACTGGTACATTTACCTAGGAGTAATAATCTTTATTGCAAGAATACCATCAGAAGCTGATATAACAACATACAAAACTGATCACAAAAATATTTTACATCTTAAAGCATGTAATAGTCGTGTCACAGGAATTACTATTACATTTTAACAGTTGTTGTCACAACAAATATTGCTACATCATCTTTGAAGCAACAGTATGTTTCAATAACTGATGGTAATCTGTATCATTTGTTATATAATTGTTTTCTGAATCAAACATATCAAGAGACTTTGGATAACTTACAAAAACAATGTTTTGAAAATAACAGTGAATTTGGGAGAGTGAAAAGATATCAACATCATATTAATTGGAAAGTGAAATATTTCCAATACAAAACCATAGCATTTTTTTACCTTGAAACAAAAACTACAGCTTTCTATCATAATAATCAGGAAAAGACAACTGACTTGTGAATAGGGTTAAAAGGATGAAGCATAACATAGGTAAAACAAATCAAGATTTAATAATAGTGTTAAGTAAATGAAGGATTCAGGAACACAACTGTACCTCATTAGAAAGAAAATGTTAATTTAAGTTCAGTTTGTCCATATTTTATAATTTTTTTAAAGAAATTTATTTTAAGAAAATTAGCCATCTAATTTGATAATAATACATATGGATGCACTGTTACAGATTGCAGACTTAGTGTTGTTTTTGGAATAAATGTATGCATAGCTCATCAATAAGCACCTCCAAAGTTAAATCTTTTTTTCTTTTTTATTAACATTATTAAGTCAAAGAATAAATAGCATCAATGCTGCAAATTCTTGAAATTCCTACATAAATATATAATCACTGTGTGAGTAAAAGACATCTCAAAACACCATACATATAATATACACTCCACCACTATATGAAGCCTAATTTCATTATTTCAAGTTGCTCTTGTCTAGGGTTACTGATGAGAGGTGTAATTCCACAAAACCAGTAAAACTTGGTGACAAATAGTAAACTGAATGATGGATTGGGCTTCACATTTATTTTTTACTATATTAAACTAAAGCATCCTCAGGTGTTAACTATAATTATCAGTTAATTAAGTTATTGTTTATTTTATCTATTTTTTTCACTTTAGTAGTAATACATATAATTTGAATGCATTGTTTAAATCTTAGAAAAAAATTTTGTAAGCTAGTCTTAGCGACCAGCTTAAATTCTTATTTCTTCTGTTGAGCAAATTTCAAAGTATGCATAAATCCCACATATAACAAATGATGTAGTATATACAGTGTGGTCATCATTATGTCATATGAAAAATTCAAAATATAGATCTTCAAAAAATGGTGGATGGATTGTTTTAATTAACAGCACATTACTGGAGTTAAATGCTGTGTGTATGTATGCTGTTGTAAACAGCAGTTGTGTCTTATCTTTTCTTATATATGGTTTTAACCAAATTAATTTTATACTGTGATTTTTGCTTGTAACTTTTTAAAGATTGCTGTGTTGTTCTTTTTTATAATGTTCAAATCGAGTGTCCTAGAAATGTTAAATATACATTAACAATAGAGTATTGTTTGCAGAATATGGTATGTAAAAAATATATACAATTGTAATTAAGGCTTTCTGTGTTATCAAGTAATAGTGCACTACAAATCTTTATGATTAAAGAAAACATTTTAAATTCAGATATTTCTACAAATATTTTCAAGATAACATTTCCAGTGCACAAGAAACCAAAATTTACAAACATTATGGGTACTAGGTTAGGAAAGTTCAAAGGATAAAATATGGCTGTTTTATCATACTCTGCTCATAATAACAGTAGGGTTGAATAAAACAGTTTTATCTATTCATGATACCTATGCACAGTATATCTTACTAGAAGAGACTGCACAGGTTCTTTGTAAGGATGCAACTTTAATTCTTGTAACTAACAAAATGCATTTTAGACTAGGTTAGTTCTATAAACACTTAATAGTTTGTACAACTGAAAATACATTTTTCTGACTGAAATTTATCATTGGTGCTTAATTCATTTGCAAAGTTTCTTATGGACCATTAGAGGTAATTTATTACTTTCTTATTGATAAATGAGGCTCCATTCCTGAAATATTTCACAGTGCTCTTTTTGTCTGAATTGGTACTTTACATTGTGCAAGTTTCCCATAACAGTAAATGTATATTTAAAGATGTTTTTGTAAGGAAGACTTTTCCATACTTCATTAAGTAGTCCAGAAACACTTTTCCTTATAAATATTTTTTCTCTTAAGTTTTGATTTGGGCATAGCCTAACGGTTAGTTTGTTCAAACTGTGATTACTGAGGGTTCATGGTTTGTGTGCTGTTGACATAAAATTGTGCTCTGCACTTTGGGACTGTGGATCAACACTTAAAAGTGATGGTTAAGTTCCACTATTTGGTGAGATAGGAATAGTCCAAGAGTTGGCAGCAAGTGTTGTTCACTAGCTATCTTCCCTCTAGTTTTTCAGTTCAAAAGTAGGAAAATCTAGGGCATATAGTCCTTGTATAGCTTTACACAACACCATCTTGAATTAACATCTAGTTTTCTGAGAATTTTTTTATGATACAAATAGTCATAAATTAATGATAAGTATTGTTGTCACTCTTTGATTTTGTAGTGTTTAGACAAATGCCCAACATGCAGTTTTCCTTGCATACCTTTTTTTTAACATGATTAACAAATTTCTTAGTAGTTTTGGATTTTCTTGTGCACTGGAACAAGCTAGTATTCTTTGTCAATACATAATACGCTGATATCTTATTTAGTACAAAATAACTGTTATCAAATCAGCATTTTTAATAGCTGTCTTCATACCTTCCTCACATATGCTACTATATTCTACAAACAGTATTTTGTTTTTATATAATTACAAGGTCTAAATAGGGACATAAATTCTAGCAGTAGAAAAGTGTTTACACAGGAATTATAATGAAACTATATAGTTAATTTACCATATTCTCTGGATAGTTTAACTTTTTTATTCTTAGGCAAAAATGTAAGTAATCAAATTTGCTGTAATCAGTCTTGTAGAGTTCACTGTTCTGAAGTCTGGTGTATTAAACTTATTGACAGGGTATGGTAGTGTTTTTGATGTTCTGTCCATTTTCATCATTATGAAATATTTTAGTAGTACATACCAGAAACAGCTCAATTATACTCAATAACTATTCTTTTAACTAGGAATTTAGTTCAATTCATCACAAAGTAAAGTCAATATCACCTTTTTGTGACTGCAATATATTTTTTAATGTTGTAAAATCACGATAAACAAGTTTTATTTTCAGTTGGAAATTCAAGATAATAAACTTCAGCCCATGTACCATAAGCTGAAAATAAAATGGCAAACATCCATTTTTTTGCAGTTTTCAATAAAACAAAATGAAGTTTTAAACCAAACATAAAGATGTTGCACAAGTTGGATTTTTATAAATTCTGAATACATTATAAAGTACATCCTTAAAACTACTATAAACTTTAATCATACTTAAATCCAATCAATTTATACCAAAGTTACAGTTTATTGCTGGATATCTCTGATGTTTCATTAAAAAAACAACAGCAGTAGTTGTCTTGTTTTCAGTTACAATGTTAAAAATTGTGGTCTTTATAAATTAAATAATGAAGCACTCAAAAAGTTTCAGAATCGAAAAAGTGTAGACTAGTTTTCCAGATGCAATGATACAAAAAGACTTCATCAAATTTCAAAGAATGAACACAAACAAAGGAAAATTGTGATCCTATAACAAGCATCTTCAATGAATGGATGCAGACTCTTCAGCAGTGTTATGTAACATCAGAAAATATTACCAGTTGTGAGCAACAAGTCGTATTTCATGAAGGATTACCTTGAAACAGTATATTCCAAGCAAATGTAGAAAATCTGACATCAAAATTAATTTGTGACACATCTAACACAAGTTTAAAGTTGTCAAAAACTAGTGGACATGCAACCAATAAGATGAAGTTGAACTTCCATCTGAGATGGTGATGAGGATGTGCAGGGTTTCAACTGAATTTGCTCTATGTGAATTCACTTCATATTATACTCAAAAGGGAAAAGTATTGTTCTATTATTTTACTATGCATGGCCAGTAATGGTTCTAGATTACAACAGTATCAAGGGTGGAGTGTATACTCCTTGCCCAATATTGTGATCTGTTGCATTGTTTTGGAAAGGTCTTTATTAATTACAGCAGAAACATATTATTGAGAGGAAATGACTACCCAACACCATTTAGAAGAATACTCCTCCAACATACTCCATGTACATCAGCATTGACATTAGAACAACACAAAGAGGGCATGTACTTCATATTTTCAGTCTGTTAATACATAGAAATATTAAAATGCACTCAAAAGATCACTACAAGCATTTATGAGGCCATACTTTGCTGTTAGAACCCAAGATAAAGTTTGAAATGGTTGTGGCTACCAGTACAACAGTTCTTGTAACAATCTTCACATGGTTACTGGAGGTAATTGAATCCTGACTACTTTAGAAATAACTGTTCAGTTTAAACACAACTGTATTATTCTGAATCTTCAGGGATCACGATCAGTCTACTTGGTACATATACTGTACAAATAAACGGAGCATTCGACAAATGTAAGGGATAAATGGTCATACTAACAAAATACCCTTACAGAGTAATACACAATTAAAAGTGTTGTCATTTTAATTTTAAACTATTATTCTCATTACAAATATTCCATTCTACTTTTACATTGTATTTGGTTGTGGTCTTTACCACAAAACCTTTTGTTTAATACCTAACCCAATAAATTTCAATTAATGAAATGGAAATAATATTGTAATACCTTACAAAGAAAGAATCATGGGCAATCAGAAATGTCACAAGCCAAACTGAAAATATTGTTAGTAAGATTCTAAATTATTTGTAAATTCATACAGCAATCTTCATGTATTTGATTTCAACATAAAAATATATCACTTGCTTTCAGTTCTAGTGCTTTGGCAAGTCATTTTATATACACCTGGAAAAAAGTTAAGCACCCCCAAATATTTTTCAGGATTGCTTATTGAAAATAAGGTTTAATTTTCATGATGTTGTCCAATGTTCATAATTTCAAACATAATTAAAAGGATGTGAGCGTTCAGGTGTGACATTTAAATCAGGCGCGTTTTTTTCCCCATGTGCAACTTGCTCCCTTCTTCACGTTCAATATGCACTATTTTCTTGTGCATCA